AAGGCGGGGCCTTTCCAAAAATGGGAGGGTCAAAAGCCACAGAAGGCCTTTCGAAAAACAAAAGGAAAAAAAAAAAAAAACAAAAAAAACTAACAGACCTGGATAAACTCATGAGACACGGGATCAACGGTAAACAGTTCTGTCTGTCCGTCCGTCTTTTTTCACCAGTTGGACAAAAAAAAAAAAAAAAAAAAAAAAAGGCTTCCCAGGATGGTGGCTCCGGAAATGGGAACGGCGGGGTCAGCCCCTTGTGCCGGGGACAAGGGCTCAAATCTGGGGGGGAAACCGCGGAAGCCCCCGACCTCACCACCCCCAGCCGAGGAAGCGCCCGCGCGCGACGGATCTTGGGGCGCGTCGGGTCTTGGGTGTGCCGCGTCAGAACTTTGGTGTAGTGCGGTCGGGAACTTTGTACATGTTAATATATGCAACCGATTAAAAACAAATAATAGAGAGAGAGAAAAGAAAACGTTATGAATTAGCGCCAGAAATCCTCGGATGATGTGTGGAAACGTCCCCAACGCTTGGCGTCAGCGTTTTCACAGAGTGGTTTTTTTTGTTTGTTTGTTTTTTTGTTTTTTTTTTAGTTGGTGATTCTTGGAACCCCGCAAGTCCCAGACGCAGCAAGAATGATGGACACCTTTTTATCGTCAAAAAAAAAAAAAAGACTTTAGAGCCAAAAAAAGCTTTCGCATCTCTTCCCGGGGAGAGGGGGAAAACTTGTGTACAGTGAGTTCCCTCCCGTGTCTAAATTTCCCCAAAACGCGCTGATTTTTTGCAGAGTGCGCGACGGTTACGTGCGATCGATAGAATGGATTGTTATTTCGGAAATGGAAATTCTCAGTGTCTGTTAGTTTTTCGTTTATTTTTTTCCCCCCTCTCTGCTCCATGCCTTTCAAAACTTTTTTTCGTTTTTTTTCCTACCTGCTCCACATTTTTCAAAACTCCCTTTTTTCTTCATTTTTTTCCTCCCTGCTCCATATTTTTCGTAACTGCTTTTTTTCGTTTTATTTTTTCCCTCTGCCCCACGCTTTCCAAAACTCCCTTTTTTTCGTTTATTTTTTCCCCCTGCTCGACACTTTTCAAGTCTTTTTTTCGTTTATTTTTTTCCCTCCACGCTTTTCAAAACTCCTTTTTTTTTCGTTTATTTTCCCTCCTCCTCCACGCTTTTCAAGACTATCTTTTTTTCGTTTACTTTTTCCCCTCCCTTCTCCACATTTTTCAGAACACATTTTTCGTTTTTTTTTCATCCTCTGATCCATGCTTTTCCAAACTCCCTTTTTCTCATTTATTTTTTTTCCCCTCCCAGCCTCACATTTTTCAAAACTCCTTTTTTTTTTTCGTTTATTTTTTCCCCCTTCCTCCATCCGATAGTCTTTTCAAACTGCCTTTTTCTTTTTTACGTTTATTATTTTTTTTTTGTCACCGTCTGCTCCACGCTTTTCAAAAACTGCCTTTTTTTCGTTTATTATTTTGTGTTTTTTTTTTTTTTTCTTCTCCCTCTGCCCCAGGCTTTTCAAACTTCCTCCCCTTATTATTAACATGCAAAAGCATTATTTTACTGTCCCAGGGAAAGGAAAACTGGAACAGATCTCTGTCATAGTGATTAATTTTTTTTTTTGTCTTTTTTTTCTTTTTTTTCCTTTTTTTTCTTTTTTTTTTTTTTACCTTTGTTCTAGAAGGCACTTTCCTTTCAGGGTTGTGGTATATATATATACATATATATATATATATCCTTAGGTTCTAGCAGACTTTTCTCCTCTTCCTCCCTGCCCCGAAGTGGCCGGTCACCAATTAACCTGTTTCTTGTTCTTCTTCTTTGGGTCGGCCGTTTTGGGACCTGCCACCCCACCGAGTCCTAGCTTGCTTGCCAGAGCGCTGCCCCACTTTTTTTTTTTTTGTCTCCCGAAAATTCTACATTCTAGGGTGTGGGCTGACCCTTACTGTAAAGAGACGAGCGTGATGCCAATAAAACTTAACAAGAACAAAAAGCTCCCTTGCCTTCGCCCTCTCTCTCTTTTTTTTTGTTTTTTTTTTTTTTTTTTGGTCTTCTTTTTCTGGAGCTCAGCTCGGGCCTGTCTCCCAGCACTCTGGGAGGAGGCCCAGGCAGGAGGCTCGCTTCGAGGCCAGGAGTCGGAGGCCGGCCTGAGCAAGAGCGAGACCACTGTCTCTACTGGAAAAAACAAAAATTGAAAGAAATGAGCTGGACGACTGAAAATATATAGAGAAAAAGGGGCCGGCGGTGTGGCGCATGCTTTTTAGTCCCAGCTACTCGGAGGGAGGCTGAGGCGGGAGGATGGATGGAGCCAGGAGTTGGAGGCCGGCCTGAGCAAAGAGCGAAACCCCGTCTCTACTACAAAAAAATAGAAACAAGCTGGACGACTGAAATATATATAGAAAAGAGCCGGGCCGTGTGGCGCATGCCTGTAGTCCCAGCTACTCGGGAGGGAGGCTGAGGCGGGAGGGATCGCTGAGGCCAGGAGGTGGAGGCTGCTGTGAGCGAGGCTGACACCCGGCATCCCACTCCAGCCCGGGCAACAGAGCGAGACTCTGCTCAAAAAAAAAGAAAAGAGCCTCAGCTCAGTGGAGGCCACGTTTGCGGCAACATGGGGCGAGGGTTTAGCAAGGATGAGGCCGTGTCACCCTTTGAGGCCGAACGGCCTCCATCCGTCCTGTCGTAGCCGTCCTGGGTTTTTGTGATTTTGTTTTTATTATTTTTGAGACAGAGCCTCGCTCTGCGCCGGGCTGAGTGAGTGCCCTGGAGTCACCTCGCTCACAGCAGCCTCCGACTCCTGGCCTCCAGCGAGCCTCCCGCCTCAGCCTCCCTCCCGAGTAGCTGGGACTACAGGCACGCGCCACCACGCCTGGATAATTCTTTCTGTATATATTAGTTGGCCAATTTATTTCTATTCATAGTAGAGACGGGGTCTCGCTCTTGCTCGGGCTGGCCTCCAACTCCCGACCTCCAGCGATCCTCCCTCCTGGGCCTCTTTCTGGAGTAGCTGGGACTGCAGGCGAGAGCCAGCGTGTGGCTATTTTTTTTAACCCTTTGCATCATCTCCGGGGACTCTGGTCGCCTAGAACAATCTGCACCAGGGGTCCGGGAAGGAGAGGAGGAGGCAGCCTCAACTGTGGGAGGCTCGCAAGCGGCCTCCATAGAGGTCGGAAGTTCTTCCAATGTTCTAGCGCCCTCCGAGGCCGAGGTCGAAGGCGGACTGAGGCCAGCCTCGCCTGGCCTCTCTGCTGGTGGCCTCCGCGTCACTTGCAGGGGAGGCAGCCCCAGGACAGGGACGGGGAGCTCACTCCCAGCATCCTCTCTCCCCTCTGGGCCTCCTCTGCCAGCCTCCACCCTGCGGTGCCACCCTCCCCAGCAACGTCTCTCCCCTCTGGGCCTCCTCTGCCGGCCTCCACCCTGTGGTGCCAGCCTCCCCAGCATCCTCTCTCCCCTCTGGGCCTCCTCTGCCAGCCTCCACCTTGCAGTGCCAGCCTCCCCAGCAACCTCCCTCCCCTCTGGGCCTCCTCTGCCGGCCTCCAGCCAGCGCCGCGAGCCTCCCCAGCAGGGACACCTTGGGGACCTCGACCTCCAGTGACAGCAGCCTCCACCCTGGGTCTCCTCCGCCCACACGCTAGGGCAGGAACCCAGGACATTGCTGCCCAAGGGTCTCCAAGGAGATAGGGGCGGGACGTCCCGGTTTCCATGGGGACCATGGGAGGGGGCGGGACCGGTTCCCATGGAGATGGGGCGGGGCCACAACCCGGTTTCCATGGAGAGGAGGCAGAGCCTGCGGTGAGGGTCCGGGCTGCAACCCGGTTTCCATGGTTACGGGGTGGGGCCTTTTGGAGGGGGCAAGATCGGTTTCCATGGAGATGGGGCGGGGCCACAACCGGGTTTCCATGGCGAGAGGGTGGGGACATTGCGAGGAGTCTAGATCGGTTTCCATGGAGACGGGGAGGGGCCGTTGCCAGGGGGCGGGACGCGTTCCTCTGCAGAGGGGGCGGGGCCACAACCCGGTTTCCATGGCGAGAGGACTGGGGGGGGCCGTTGCCAGGGGGCGGGACCGGTTCCCATGGTGAGAGGGGGCGGGGTCCGTTACCAGGGGGCGGGACCTGTTTGCTTGTAGAT